GTTCCCTTGTTTGTCTGCTTTTCTAGTGTTTCATAGATATGTCAGTAATAAATTAATTGTTTGATGCAGTAAACCTGGAGTGAGAAATTGCTAGTTTGTCACAGTTAAGTAAACCCAGTGCTACCATATGGCTGGCTGTCTTGTTCAGTGTACTGTAAGACCTGTAGAGATCTCGGAGTGCAATTGACGTTGTTTAGCTGTAACTGAATAGATGTAGAGGAGCCTTCTTGCTTGTTTCAACAAAAAAAACCCAAAAACGAATAAAAAACAAATTAATATGCTAGAGTATTTCATGGCTTCAACTATGGATGTGTGACTATAGTCTAAGTTTCCATTAAGTAAGGATAATGAGTCTCTAATACATTATATAATAACCCCCCTCTTGCTTTGTTATTTATCAGTTCATAAATAGAAGAAAAATTGGCAAAAAAAAAAGGGGAAAAAAACTTTACAATGCGCACATTGTTTTTGGCTTAGGCTAAAACCTTTCTGTAGCGTGCCAAAAGGTTTGTGCAAGGGGAAAAAAACAAACGCAACAGTATTACAGCTGGCTTCCTTTGGATAATGTCATGCCTGCCACCTCATTCAGTGTCTTTGCTGTGCTAATTTTGGTTTTCCTTCAAAGAATAAACACCAGATTATAATAGAAATTGTCAATGACCAGAAATAACAGGAAAATTCCCAAACTTATTCCTAACTCAAAATGGATCTTTGAGATCCCCTATTTTATGCTTGAGTATATAGAACCCTGATTAACAGTGGTTTAAAAAAGTAGTTTTGTTATTATGATGATTTTTATTTGAGGGGGAAAAAAAGTTAACTTGTCTGGGGATAACAACAAATCACATATTTGCAGGAGAAAAACCATGTTTTCATGTAGGAAGTTCTGTGTACATCGACAATGTTATCTTAGAAAGTTTAGATCAGTTTGTTTAGATCATACTATCACATGCAGTATGAGGCAAACTATTGAGCAGGCTCTACAGCACTTGGAGCCACATTTGAAACTGTATGCTACGAAATGTCTTAAACCTGTGTTTTCTTCAGGATTAGAGGACAGAGATGGCAGTGTGTGCACTGACCATGTTGGATGGGATGGAGGATGAGGTGACAGCAGCAGGTGGTGTATTGCTTCTGTTCTTGGCCCTCATCTTGGCTTGGCTCTCAACCCATGTGGCTGATCGGGGAGACCACATATTGGGCACGATCCTCACTGTGGGTGCTCATGCCTCTCTGATTGGACTGGGAGGCCATGACAACTACGGTGGAGGGTCAGCTAGTGCCGACACCCCTGAGCAGCAGACGCCTCCACCTTCTCAGGAGAACAAGCCGGACGAAGGAGAGCCGGCAGCTGACAGAGGAGAGGGTGAGGGGACTGTAGAGGGAGCCGAGGGGGTTTGGACAGATTTGTTGCTGGACATACAGAGCAAACAACCACAGGCTGGAAGACTGCTTGTCACTTCTGATGGAGAGGATGATGAGGCTGATGAGGAGGATGAGGAGGAGGAGTTGGAGGAGGAAGTGAAAAAGGCTACAAAGCCTATTCCAATTTTGACCAGCACCACCTCTTCTCCTACCATCACCAGTAGTACCACTTCCATCTCTGTCCGTCTGAAGTTTTTGAATGACACAGAGGAGGTGGCTGTTGTAGAGCCACAAGATACAGTTGGGATACTAAAAAGGTTGGTAAAATAACTGTGAAAATCCACCAAACTTCAAGAATATCAGAATAATTCACAGATGATACACCCATTAGGCAGTTAGCTTAGCATAAAGATTGTGCCGCCTTGCAATGTTAATTTATCAAGAGCTTATACTTAGTTTGCTGGCTTACAGTGGAAGGCTTTACCTTACTGTTGCTTTTCATGTTTTTTGTTTTTTGCAAAGCGTAAACAAGATGCCACATATTACTCAGTCAGCTTATAAATGTTCATTTAAGGCATATTTTATTACCTTTAGACAGAGCCAAAAGTTTCTTTTATTGTCTTTCTGCTAAGTAAGTTAATTGGCTTATGTCTGAAACCTTGGATTGATTGTACAGGAGTGGTATTGATCTTCTTGTCTAACTCTTGGAAAGAAAGCGCCTTATAACTGCTTTAATTTCTCATCTCCCTTCTTTTCCAGCAAATGTTTCTCAGGGCGGGAGCATCAAATTAAATTAATCTTCCAAGGCCAGCTGCTGCAGGATCCCAAGAGGACTCTGTTATCCCTAAACATCACAGACAACAGCGTGATCCACTGCCACATCTCTCAGACCCTGCATGATTCCAGTCCAGAGGAGGGGGCTCAGTCCGGAACAGGAGCAGGAGCCGGGTCCGGAGTCTCCAGTGGATTCAGGGCGGCAGGTGTAGCCATAAGCACCGGCAGCCTGGTGGTGCCTGTCTTTGTGGTGATTCTTGCTGTCGTGTGGTATTTCCGCCTCAACTACAGGCAGTTCTTCACCGCCCCTGCGACCATCTCCCTTGTGGGAGTCACTGTGTTCTTTAGCTTTTTGATATTTGGGATGCACAGCCGCTGAAAAGGCAAAGAAAGGGCACACACTTATAGTTGAATGTTGTGAGGTGAAATAAAAATAACTACAGCAGTGGGTGAGTGTCTGGAGAGATGTACTGACCATAAAGGGCCTCGGTGCAGATGCTGCAGCTGGTTTGAGAGCGTGCATTTGTGCGAGCGTGTGGGTGGTTAAGTGAGCCTGTTTGTGCATGTACAAAGATAAAAACATGAGTGACTGAGGAGTGTAAGTGCAGTTAAAAAAAACAAAACAAAAAAACAGCAGTGAGTGAGCATTTGCTTTAACTAAAACCTAATTTAGTTCCTATTCAAAGATGTAGTGGTTCAGACCATGTTGTAATACTGGCTTCATCTCATGGCTCTTTATTGCTGTAAAATACTCATTATGCTTTCCTGTGCGCTATTCTTTGAGATGACTTTGTGTTTTAAATGTACAGTAAATACAGTCTACACTCGCTACAGGTGAACGGCAGCCACCTTAATTAGCATTATGCACTTGAATTGGGAGGGGTAGTAAAATAGAATTCAGTTGACAACAGTCTATCTGTTGACATCTAGTGGTAAGATTTTACATACTGTACCTTTTAAGAAAACCAACCAAAAAAATGGCTTAAAATCATTTGGAACCACTCACTGTTGTGCTGCGTGTGCCAGTTTGAGTCTTTGCCATCATTGTATTATTTGAATGACTCGAGCTCTCTGTATGCAAATATAAATTGTACAACTGCCTCAGTGCAAGACTGTTTCTTTTATGCTACGTAGGAGTAGTTTAATTTAAACATTATGAAAAGATACTGTAAATATATTGTGTATTTTGTGTAAATAAAATTATACAATGAATCAATGTGCATCTGGCACTTGCTGTCAGACTGCTCTGGTTTCAGTTGCATCTCTTATTAAAGCATTTCAAAACGAACCCCTTCTACTAGCTCTTTGTGGTTTAAAGAAGTCAGTCTCATGGTATTGGTGTTTATTTATATACAAACATCAGTATGCATGGCAGTGGAAAAAAAAAGAAAAATAATTTATGTATCACATTGTGTTCAGATACAAGTTGTGCACACATGCACTTATTTGTGCTTGTGCATGGAAAAAAAAGGAAAGTCACAACATTGCTTTCTTTTGTCATTGCACTTCTACAGCACAGAAATACACAAAGAGCCACAAATAAACCACAAGCAGTTACCCTTATTCACAAACAGTGCCATGACCATTGGATCATAGTTACCAAATTATCTAAAACAGTTCATTTAACATTAGTGCACATAGCAAGATTTTACTGGACAGATTCAACCGGGCACAGTCAGAAATATAGGGACAAAATACAAAATCGGGCTTTGGCAGATTGTCACGATTGTGAGAGAAAATTGAAAGCACTTGACTTTAAGGATTGTATTACATAACCCTCAAAACTGGAACAAATGCTTAAAAATAGAGAACCTGGTGAATGTGAACCCTTAATCAGCATCCGTTAATCCACCAAACAGTCTGGTACATGCAGCACCTCTGCGGTTGCAGATGTCGAGATCGCTTTCTGTTCTATTTCTTGGAAATAACTGGTCCAAAAGCATCTAGAATGCCTTCACAAAGAGACATGATTGTATCTTCAAAACTGCCAATTACGCTGATGTTAAAAAATTTAACAAATGAGTTTGGACAAAAGTGCCAAAATTCTCTCTCCGAGGGCCTTTTAGTGAGACAAAATGTCCAACCTCATGAAAGGTATATATGAAAATGCAACAAAAAAGTGCAAATAATGAAAAAATAAATTAAAATGACTGGTTTAAAACAGGGGTTACTTAAACTATTAAGTAAATCAATAGGTTGGCCTCATTTCAAACTCCACATTCTTATTCTTCGTATGATTAACAGTTGACAGTTAAAGCCCCACATTTCATCCATCTGAAATAAGTATATTTAGCTCCTTTGATTTCTGGTTGGTTGCCTCCTGCAAACAGAAGGTTCTAACTATAGGTGGGTGGGACAGCTGTGTGCTTGAGATGACCTTACTAAGGATATCCCCTCTTGATGAATCGCAGGTGCTTAAGCCTGGCACATTGGCAACTTTCCCCATGTTTAATATGAACATTCAATATACATGAAATAAAATAAGAATAAACAGAATAGGTCAACTTTACCTTCCCTCTTTATGAAATCCTGATTAAAATAAAGCATCCTGGATTTGCACTTCAGATTCCACTATAAAAACCTGCATTAAGTCTTTGGGTGAGCAATTTCCAATTTAGAAGAAAAACAAATTCTTCTCAAAGACCTGAAAAGTACAGGACTTTGGCATCTACAATATGTAATAAACCTCATAATTTACATCAGACACTGTTGGTTACAAGCTTACAAAATGCAACCTTATCGCTCATGGTCATTAACAACAAGCTGAACTGCTGGGCTGATCTACTTTTACAATGTAATCTACAAGCAAAGTGAGTGAAAGCACACAGGACAAGGCTTTCTAAGAAGGAAACAAATAAACGTTGAATTCATGATTTATGTCAAACATACATGTACTGTACATGTGCCCCAAAAGCCTACTGGCTCATCAAATATCAAAATTCTGCATTTACACACAAGTAATATGCACATCACCACAAAGGCAGTGACAAATACAAACTTAAATATACCGTTAATGTAAACGAGTTAAATATTCCAAATGACACACATACTTTCACAAGAGTCACATTCTAGGATGCATAGTTTTGTGAAAAGAATGATTACACACACATCAACCGCACGTACACTTACACACAGGCACGCACGCACACAAAATTGACAGTCACGCTAAATGCAAATCATCATACAGACACACAAACACACACACGCACGACTGTGCAATACAATGCTAGAATTAAAAAGCCACCGATGAGTACTCCAGTATATGTGTGTCAAGTGTTGAACGTGTCCTTACGACCGAGTCTGAACACAAAGTCCAAGAAGAGGGGCCGGTCACAGGCTCACCAATGACAGAGTATCTGAAGGTTTTAGAATTTAAGGCCTTTCAATTTAAGTAGAACTTAAAGAAGAAAAAAAACCTCAACTTTCACTACCAGCTTGTGGTCTGAAAAGTTTTTTTTCAGTTCCAGGACATTGCAGTGCTTTGTATGAATCCAGGTGGTCTTATGATTGATGTCTTTTGTAACTTCAAGGCCCTCCGTAAAATAAAATTTAGAGCACAGGAGATATCATTTACACACAAGTGGTTCATTTTTTTTTTCAAAGATTTATTTCTAAGCTTTTTTTGCCTTTATTGCAAAGGATCAGCTGCAAGAGCGAGGATGACATGCAACATGGGTAGCATGTTCTTTATTTCTATATCTGCATAAAATTATGTTTTGGTTCAAATAATCTACTTACACTACTTTACAATTTTCTTTAATTGGCTGCAAAGTTTTCTGCAGTGTTGTGTGGAAGCTCCTCATTGAAACAGCCACACAAAGCGTCAAATTCTGTTTTACACTGGAAGTGAGCCAATCCGTTATTGCAGACACTCTGACTGGACTCGGACCGCAATTCTTAAACTCTGTGTTCATAATTTAGGAAGGACAAATCTTTAAATGTAGATGCCTCAGTTATCAAGGCCAAATGATTACTAAGGAACTTCTAAGTCAAGTTTCATCCCATTCAGCTCAGACCTTTAAAGCTTGGTGTGAAAGAAGGGACTTAATAAGAGGAGGTGGGGGCTGGTCTGACAAATTGGCTTATGCTAAATCATCATAGATACTTGAAATAGGAGGTGCTGAGAGTTTGGGCCTCTTTTTTTTGGTCGATATACTGATATTACTCTGAGAGCTGCTGCCGCCGCCGCCTCCAGCCAGGCTTCCACTCCCACTTCCTCCTCCTCCACTGTTCAATGGAAGAGATGGCTTCTTCTTTTTCTTGGGCTTCCGAGAATCTGAATGGTTGGTGCCTGCAACAAGAACAGGAATGTATTTTACTGATAAAACCTACATGTCATAATTACTAAATGAGTGTCCCTTCCTCACTGGCTTTAGATGAAGCAGAATCAGTAGGTGAAATATCAGAGTCCTCCCACTGCAGGCGGCTCATTAAGGGTTGTGCATCTGGAATGTCAAAGCTGTCAGTCTCCACAGCATCTGCATCAGGCAGCGTTGGCCTGTGACATAAAAACAGACACAGTAACACAGTTTTAGACAAAGCCACACACAGATATACACACAAACAAAATGTCTATATATCTGTCATGTAATTGCACTTTTCAGTTTAAGTTTCTTTTCCATCTCTATGATACCAATAACAACACCACAACCAACAACACCACTATTACTTTTAATAATAACAACTCTACAACACAAATGAACATCTGCCCAACATTTTGCTTATAGTTGTTGGACAAATGTATCTTTGTGTGCTTATTAACACATGCCCTTCTTTCTGACCCACACTGGTTTTTTTCAACATGACTCCCTCTCACTGGATTTTTGATTTTAGGTGAATTCTTGGGGAAAAAAGAAAATGTCTCGAGAATCAAAAGAATCAAATTTCAAGCAAAAACAATAACATCAAAAACTGCTTATTATTGCCTCTATCAATAACAAGATAAATAGCTTCATTTTCTGAACCGTGTGCATAAAGACAAGGCCTGGAAAATTATACTCAACCATTTTCACCATTTCTGTCACTTTGTAGATGAAACATTTTATACATGAACTAAGATGATATTTCTCTTTAAGCGCAGTCTACTCATCTCAGCTGTTAAACCATACCTTCAGACTAAGATGTATGGAGTGGGTTTATTATTATTTTTAGTAAGGCCAATAGGCTGTGGTGTTTATGATAACAAATAGTTACAAGTGAGGGTGCTACAACCACAGATTTTGGTGTCATGTTCCGGTTCACAGGACCAGAAAAACTTCCTGTGGTAGTCTATCGATCTTTCCCAGTGTTTAAAACTCATGCAGCGTTCAGTTCTGTTAACAATGGCTTTACAAGTCATTTACAACAGTGCTTTTGCATAAAAGTCGTTCCTGGCAAGAAAGGCGTCCCTCTGCCAGAGTATTCACAACACTGACCAGCAGCATCGCTCTGTCACTGTCTCCAGCCAAGGCAACCATATCAGCAAACAGTGAACTGTTTGAGCAAACACCTGCACGATGAGGGTAACGACACCAACTCAAACATGACTTTTGTCAAGTGCACTCTAGTTAGTGGTTTTGGTGAGGAACGGGTCAGGGTACACTCACGCGGACGGCCCCAGGAGGAACAACCTGACGGCCCTCCTCTGTTCGTCCGTGTGTTGGGGACATCGCTGAGACCTGGTGGGACACAAGGTGGCGTTATACACCCCTGACTGATGGCCCGCCCATACCCACCACATAGTTTTACACATCTCCCTGCCTGCAAGCCAGCAGGGAAGGTGGGGCGGACTGATGGGACACAGTCAGAGACCAACTGATAATGGGCAGTTATGAGTTACAAACTATTAGAGGTTAGTCACTGATGGGTTCCTCATTATTATAAGTCTGTTGTTAAGACCTTTAAAGATTTGGCTCTTCACCTTGGAGAAAAAGGACAGGTCTAAAAGAGATCAATTATGAGTTGCCACTTGTGTTCCCTTGAGTTAGTTTGATCATACACAAGTTTCTTATTTAATTTTAAAAAAAAAAACACAACTTCCTTATATTTATGTATTTCATTTTCAGCTGTGACTTTCAGTTTCAGACAACAGTTCTAAGCAATTAAGATTTCAAGCTATGAGGATGCTGACCTCAGAATTTAGATTCAATTAGATGGTTAAACCAACATGAATCCAGGTGTTATGTTACCAGAAACTGTGCTGCAGGGAGCTACACAAAAGCAGCTGGCTGTTTTCTCAAAACAGAAAAGGTTTAATTACAAGTTAATCTTTGTGTCAGAGGCTTAGGCAGTAATTACCTGGTACACATCTTCTTTGTGTGCTCAGATATCACCCCACATTGCTGTAGAAACACACAATACTTTAATGATTCACACTTATATAATTAAATCAGTAGTTGGAACAATAAAAAAATGACATGCTTGGGCAGATTCATGAAAATTGCTCACCGTCGTTAGAAGGGATCTGACTTCATCGGGGCCCAAGGTTTCATAACTGATGCCAGTATTATAGTTGTACTGAATTTAAAAACAAAACAAACCTTTATGATTATAGAATTTACAATACTCTATAGCCTAGCAATCAATTTGATCACAGGAGGATTTGTCACCTTGTAAGATTCAGCACCGACGCCACTTCCAAGCTCACCTGGAATGCATACGCACAAACACACTGTTCATGTAACAGATTGAGACCGCTAAAAGCAAATCAAAATTGAACTATAAATTCCATCTGCATCTAAAAGAAAAATATTTGCATTTCACTTTGAATTGTTTCCTACAACTTTGAGCTATGAACTTGAAAAAACAAAACAACAAAAAACCCAGATAGACTCACCGTTTTTATGTTTCAGGGATTTGGATCTTCTTGGGGAATTTTGACTCTGCACAAACAAAAATGTTTAGATTAAAATAACCTTATGATACACATGAAAAATGTATTTATACTAACAATGTGTAATTAAAAAAAAAAAAACATACCTTATCTGACTTTCTCTTCTTGGCTGTAAAAAGGAAATAAGAAAGGTTTATTTTAAGTAACTGCCTGGAGATTTCTTTCATCTCTCAGTACAATGCAATCACTCAAGTGCTCACTTTTTTTTTCAGCCCCATACGACCAGTCATTATCATTAAGGTCATCATTGTCTTCCTGATCACTCTCTGATTTGCTCATATTATTACTGCTGGCTAGCCTGTTAAAAGAAGATCAAATAATTAAATTAGAATTTCATGTATAACTTTGGATCACTGCAGGAATTTCTGCTTTATGACCTTCACTGACCGACCTGCGGTTGGCGATGCGGCTGCTGTTGCGTCCCATGCCAAGGCATTTCTCCAAATGTGGAGCAAAGCGAGAAGCTGCTATTAATCTTTTACAGTTGGGACACTCACACTCTTTGTTCTTCCACTGATTGTACACCTGCCCAAATATGTCCACTCCTGGTTGATCCACAATTTCTGGAGGGAAAAAACAAACAAACAAACAAACAAACAAAAAAAAAAAACAGTAAGCAAACACATTGAAGACAGACAGAATAGAAACCAGATCCAATGGCACCAACCAAACTCCTTCATGCTCTCTTGGTCCGTTTCATCCAGGAAGAAATAGCCCTGTTTAACAGCTCGATGCACCTCAAAACACAGGCCCAAACAGGCATCTTCCACCAGCTCAGAGTAGATGTCATGGGCCAGGGCCTACAACAACAAAAACATAGTGTAACACCAAAGACAAACCCAATGTTAGGTAAATGCATGGGTACCTGTATGCACAGGTAATACCTCACCTCCAGCCTGGTGTTGTCTGGGCCTGAGAGGGGCATATCCTCCATTTTCATTTGAAAATCTCTATTGGAAGTCTTGACAGCAAGGTAATAAGATTGATATCTGAGGACTTAAAAGAGATAGGATAGAAGTGAAATCACAGCATGCTTGAAAGGCAACAGATGTATGGCACACAGATTCAAGATACCAGTCGCAAATAACATACTTTAAAAATATGTATTAGCACTTGTTCCAGGTCTATCTTCATCCTGTTGAAAAGAAGAAATAATCGCTGGTCATGTCCAAGATCACCACAGAAGTTTCATGTAAACATATGATAATTAGCGGTACAATCTGACCACTGTAACCCCAAGCCTGAACTGAACATATCAGCACATATCAGCTACAGCAACATCCTGATTTTCACATTACTGGACATCACACACACAGAGAGAAATGTGGTTTTAACTATGTACTCTAACCAGCTTTAACATTACATGTGGTTGATTGAGATAAACAAGATACCTATGTATCCAACACGAAAGCTCAAAAATAGCTACATTTTACAAAAACACATTCATTTAAACTACCTCACGAACGACTAGCTAACGTTAGTAGAACCTAAACGCAGGTAGTGACAGTTCCTTAGCAAATTAACTCCGGCTAATATCACCTTTCATGGTTTATATCTGCTGGCCCCACTGCTCTACTAATATGAGCTGAAGGAAAGGCCTTTGTGGCATTCAAATACTAAGAAACAGTGTAGCGACGTTAGGTGTGTTTTAATTTCAAACTGTTTCCTCTTACCCTGTCATGCCGAAAACTCAGCCTGAACCGGGCAGTTTCTCTGAAGGAGGCAACATGACCGAGTCCATCCAAATAAAACGCGTTAGCAGGAGGCCCGGTCTTCAGCTACAGCCATTCTAATAACACGGACAAAACAAAAAGCTCGATAAAAGTGTTTGCTGTCGCAGGTGTCGGTTAGCAAAACTGACGGTACGAGCGAGGAGGCCGACAAAGCATATAAACCAGCTAACTTCCGGTTGTAGCAATAAAAATAAAAGCTTAACCTGCAAACGTGAAGCGAGTTGCTGGAACTCGACAAAAACAAAAAAGAAAAAAAAAAATCAAGAATACAGTCCATGTTGAAATCGTTAAAAAGGATAGAGATTAAGCTAATTTAATCATTCAAATGCTTATAAAATATATAAAATAATGTAATGTAAGGTAATGTAATGTAAAGTAAAGTAATGTTGCTAAATTCAAAAATACCAATACACATCATGACTCATTTAATTTTTCTGTCACTATTTGCTATATTAATGTGCATTTTTATATTAACAAGCAAGATGAGGAAATGTATCTTAATTTTTTTAAAAATCTAATCTTTTAATTTCTAACTGAAAGAAGAACAACATTTTAAAAACAATTGTTAACATTTTTGTTTAGCCACATATCTTTAACAGCTAGCTACTTGCCAGAATTTTCATATTTATTTTATGAGCTGTCGAGCTCATTTAACATCACAGGGCACGAACAGCCAATTTGAACTAGAAATTGACAAAAAATTGTGAAGAAAAACTTTATTGTTCATATATTATTTAATTATTTTGTCTTAAGGGACAGCTTTATAAGTGGGGAAAACGGTAAAAGCTATGAAAATACAATGTACAGTCTGAAATTTATGCCCTCTATCACATATTCCAAAGCAGTCCAGTGGGCCAGACTGTAATTTTCGTAGGGCCGATTCTGGCCCCTGGGCCAGCAGCAGACAAAATTAGCGCCACCTAGACCAGCTACACTTAAACGCCTTAAACGGATCTAAGAAAACAAACAAAAAATCTAAGGTCCTAATAAATTACATAAAATTATGTTGAAAACTGTGTTTAAAAATTTAGTACAGAAGAAACTTAGTGACCTTCTGGTTATATGGCACCCTGCATAAAAGAAAAATACAAAAAACACAAAACAAACCAAAACAGAAAAAACTGTGGGGAGATTAGTGAGGTATTGAAGAGCGCGTTTATACTTTTACTTTGAAGGTACAGTTCGGGTGTTTCCGCTTTCACGGCGAGGTTTCTTTCAGCTCAGACATCCATAAATGAACGCTAGATTTTCGCTCTTTATCTACAATCTGTTTGTAGAGCCTGGGCGGGCTGAATGAGGTCATCACTTTAACTTTGTTAAATGACAGAAAGTATGTGGACACCTTAACATTACACCAGCATAGGATTATTGGACTCTAGCTCCAGCTACTTTTAAAACCCACAAGATTTTGGATTTTCTCCATCCCAGCTATGCTAGGTGAAGAGTTGGCCCTCCAGTTTATCTTTTATGTGTTGGATTTGGTTAAAGTCAGGGATTCACTAGAGGCCATTTTTCCATTTTGTGGAACTTGATATACACCACCAGAGCAACATCTGACATGAGTTCCTTGTGGAGGATCCTGCTTTACAACATCACATCAAGGTTTGAGTATTGCTTCAGTTTAATCATGTGTAGCAGAACTACATTTGGGAATCACTGGACACCCCATGATATGAAATTATCACAATACGTCACTCTACATCCAATATTTTTTGCCATTTTTCACCTTTTTACAAGTCAGATTGTAACTGTTTGCAGAAATGTTGCCACCTGTCAGATGACCTGTGCAATGTTTGTAAGTGTGCAACACTCTGACATCTGAACAAATTGCAATCAGTTGCAGAATATGAAAAAAATTCAATACAATCAAAAGGCAGCCACACTTTTTTCTTGTAGATGTCCTATTTTACTTATGCGACTGAGCCATTAGCTTTCCTTGAAGTAGGAGGTAGCTTTGTCAAGTCTAAGCGTCCGCTCTTGGATGTTTTTTCGGTTGAGTCGATTTCATGCAAGAGAGATAAGCCCTCTTGTCTGCAGTTTCCAGAATGTTGATATACTGGCATGCAAAATATCATGATGCTATGCTGTATCCATTCCTCCTAATCAAAACTGCTACAGGTAAAAATTTTTAGTGCAACAAAAACTTTTCTTCAGCATTTTTTGCTTCATGTGATCCATGCCCTGGATCCTGTTTGGTTAAAATGTATTCAGGACCATATATAACAATTCTTAAAACTGTAACCAAGTAGTGATTTGTGTGCTGTCAACATATTAAATAAATCCACACTTTTAACTGTTAAAGGTCATTTATTTGCCCAAATACTTGAACTACAAGGACATAAGAACACCCTCAGCTATATAAAACATCAAATTCTGTCAATTTGTCAGCAGTACAAACTTGTAAAGCTTTGCTGTTTTAGATATCTCTATAAACCAACATAAGGGAGAGAAGAAACAACTAAAACAGGCGAATTTAACCAAAAATTCTCCCCCGTGAGTGAAAGACTCACTGGCCTTTGAAACCACAGATGAGGGCTTGCCAAAATAAAAGTACTAACAAAACAATAAGCACTCGATACAAAAACAGTATTTACAGAAAATTACAGTTGCTTTTTTTTTTTTTGTCTTTTTTAACCCCAAGTCCACTGGCAACTCAGTTTCCTAATTCCCTTTTACAAACTTTCATCATTCAAAAAGGAAATGCTTTGCTTTTCCCTCCCCCAGTTATTTAAATAGTCCACGCTGGTTTTATTTCAGTCTGTGATGAGATTCAAAATGGTCAAAATAAACCCATTATTAACAGATTATTAATAGTTGCCATGTACTTAATCTGTCTGGAGACCCAAAAACACAGTCACATAAGCCCATTTTTAGGTTTTCAATGACATGACCGCAAAGACCTTTGGAGAAAAAAAAAAAAAAATAAAAGATTTAACAATATCTACATTCATGGTGTTGGTATGATGTCCCCGCACAGGCACATACATGCACACTGCTGTCACGTCATGGTATGCAACTAAACGGCAAAAACAACACACATTAAAGCAAAGAAACACGCAAACGCCCTCATATATACAAAGTTCTGTGCATGCATGCACACAAACTCACACAGAGGGACAGATTTACAATAAGTGCACGCTTTTTTTTGGGATAAGCATCAGAACAGAACCCATGTGGATTACAGTCAATACTATTAAAACTCGGAAATAAAAATGGACGAGTCCATTCAGCTCAACACCCACGACGAGTCCAGATAGATCAAAACACAACTGCTCACAATTAAAAACAAACCTGGTAGCAAATCGCAATTGAACTGTAAATGAAATAGAAAGCAACAGTTCTGAAGAAAAAGAAAAGCATATTTAACGTTGCTTTTAAAAACAGAGTCAGACTGAGCTTTAAATATGGACAAGTGTTGCAATTAATAATTACAACCTGCTCAATGAACTGAGTAAGAACTGTTAAGACTGATCGACAACAACACGTCAGTTTGGATAAATGAGATCTTTCAGTGACAGACACATGGCAATGTGCAATGTCCTGGAAAGTATTCAACCCCCATTGGACCTTTATGTTTTATACTGGAACCATAACGGCTAATCCGGCTTTATAACTCTTTTACGGCCAAGTTAAAACAATCCCTATAAACCAATCTAAATTAAGTCCCAATATAAAACTAAACTGTTTACACAGTTTGACACTACGTTCCAAATCTGGAAGCCCAAACAGCTAGGTAGACATGAAAAGCACCAGCATGCAATCGCAGTCTTGTGTTTTAGATTCGTGTTTAATCTAGACAGAATCTAGCTGAGGGAATATTCCATCACGCCAAGGCTTAGATGAAGTCGATGTCAGTTCTGTGTTGAAAAGCTTTACAACACACCCCAAAAGATGCAGTCTGTTAACTTCCAATAAATGTTGCTATGCCTCCTTACATCCCGATGTGTGTGAAAAGGTCCAATTGAATCTTTGTTGAAAAGCAATAAAACATGAAAAATCCAAGGATTGAATACTTTATAGGCAGTGTAAATTTCAAATGAAAAAACATGGGTATGTAACACTCTCAAATTTTCCAGCGACAAAAAAAAAAAGACATTCATAATGGCTTGATTTTTTTTTTTGTTTTTCCTGAAAAAAATACCACCTCCTTAAGAACCAAATCATAAAATCTACATCGTAAGTCGAGGACAACACAACAATGTTGTGAAAAAAAAAAAAAAAAGATTAAACGAAAATCTTTTGTAGAGTGCAATTTTCCAGTACCCCGCATACCCTCCCCCCTGCCCACCTTCAGGTGATCCACCGTACTGTGTTCTTTGGCTCAGCCTGTTCACAACTCAAGCCACCTGTCCTTAACTAATCATCGGAATAACAAAAATAAAAGACTGAACGGGTAATCAATTACCCAACACATTAAAACTCTAACCTTAAACCACTGAAGCTGCAAGTCAAGATTGAAACAAGTGCAGAAATGTTCATGACATCACCAAACCAGTGGGATGCTGTTTTTGGCATACTGTCAGTGGCCCGTGCTGTGAGATGACTACTATGCTGGGGATGGAATTGAACTGATTTCCAGATAGGGGCAGGGTCTCTCCTTCTGTACAGATCGCCAGTACAGCAACATAAAGTGGGTGAGTGTGAAATGGATGAGGCAATGCAGAGGCTCCCTCTGGTGGTGGGAGGAGAGCAGGGTTGGCACAGTGGCAGAGCTCCCTGGACTCTTGGCTCAGCTCAGCGCTGCTCAGTTTGTCAGTGATGGCGCGTTTCAGTCTGAATCAGAGTCTGACGACCCCTGTGAGTTCGACTCACTGCTGCTGTCCTCCGACTTGTTCTCCTTGTCATCTGCTTCGTCGTCCTCTTCGTCGTCTTCATCGTCGTCGTCCTCCTTCTTTAAACAAAAAGAAATATATACACGCATTTTCAGCAAAAACTCAAAACCACTGGTTGCAACTATCTCATGTATCTGAGCAGAGAAAACACTCACGTCATCATCATCCTCATCGTCCTCACTGGAAGAGTCGCCTTCACTGGAAGCTTTCTCCTGCTCATCGTCGTCGTCATCCTCCTCATCGTCGTCATCATCCTCGTCCTCCTCCGTATCCTGCAACAAGTGATCCCCCCCTTTCAGATAATGCTAATAACATGACTATAAAAAATTAAAGTTTCTGCTCAACTCAGCTCCAAGACAGCAAACAAAGAAATAAGTCTGTACTCACAGATTTCTTGGCCTTTGCCTTGGGGCCTCCTGGTTTTGCTGTAGTTCTTCTTTTCTGAATGATTTGCGAAATAATAGATCATTAAAATATATCAAAAACAGATATTGCAATTTCAGCCGTTTGTAAATGCTAGCTGTTACAAATCAAAAACATTCCTTACTTGTGAATTATATTCTTTGTAAGTGTTTCTCTCTTGCGAAGACAAACTCTGTGGAAAGACGGAAATAGATTTTTCCAAATGTCTCAAAAACATCTTGCCTCCCCCCCCAATCCATTAAATTCTTCTTACAGCGAGCCACTGTTCCAGTTGGACTTTGTACTGCCTTTGCTTCTCCTCAGCAATCTTCTTGTAGCGGTCCTTGTCCTTCAGTGGTAACCTCTGCCAGCGGCTGCCAATCTCAGCCATCCGCTCTTTCATTGGGAGATGATTCAGCTCTCCATTGGACAGCATCTCCTGAGAGAACTTCTGATATCCATTTCTAGAGTCAAAGTAAAAGGAGAAAAAAAAAAAAAGTCAGGCCTTCGAATCGGCTACATCAGGCAGCACAGATGAGCTGAATGTCGCAAACTTACGATGGCGGTTTCTTGGGTTCACCCTCAAATTTCATCTTCTTCCCTGAGGCAATGGCAGCAGCAGGCGAGCGCATCTCACTTACTTCTCTCTGTTGAGGACAGGTAAATCAACATTTAGCTCTCACTGGTTTCATATAGAGAAACAGGAGATTTTATTGAGACTGTGTCCTAACCTCATATCTTTTCTGGTCTTCTGCTGCCTTTTTGATCCACATAATCTTCTCTTTTTTCTCCATGGTGCTCCAGGTTCCTTCCATTGCTTTCTGTGCCTTTGGCCGGTCGTTCTGCAAACCACATACAGGCATTAAATCCATTCCCGGGTATGTTATCTGTGTTTCCAGCACTCTGTCATCAACAGCATTACACAGCTGTAGCTCATTGTTAACATCAGCATGATTATTAAGTAAATTTCTATTCACAAAAACATCCAAATATTTTAACGATTTGCTATTATACTGAATAATGTGGGCTAAAATACAACAGCTAGTTTGTGGATACCTTAAATCTGGCCAGGTAGTCGCCTATAACACTCTGCTGCCAGATGTCTTGTGCATTTTTGGGCGGATCTGGGAGTCGACTGCGGTCCTCTTTTTCCTTCTTCTCCGATTCTGCCTTCAACACTGATTCTAAGCGCTTAAACTTCTCCTAAATCATTAGAGAAATCCAGCACATCACAAAATAATTGAAAAATCCCACTTTCAGAATAACCTTTGACCTTGAAAGTCTACCGATGCGGCATTTCTGTTCCATAAACTAACACCTTACCTTCTTCTTATCTGGTAGCTCGTTCCACATGCGAGCAAGAAGTCTTGTGATCTCACTGTCAGCGAGGTCTGGCCGCTCCTGCTGCAGCTTGGGACGTTTCTCCTCAGCAAATATGAACATGGCTGAAATGGGTCTTTTGGGTTTTTCTGGATTTGCCTGCACGTTCCACGTGAGAATATCAGAATAATACATGAAAGCATCTATGTAAATACAAATCTAACTGTAAAGCACACCTGAATTTAAAATTCTTATTAAAATGTTATTGCATTACGCTGCAGTTTTCTCTTTCTGTACCTCTGAAAAACAGACCGATTGGCTCTCAACAGTTTCGCACAAATATATTTTCCTTGCCTTTATACCTTTGCGTGTTAGGTGAACATGTAAACAGCTACACTATATATCAGAAAATAACACGGAACAAAATCTGACTCGAGGACATATTGCATTGCTACACTGACAAGTTGTGTTTTTCTTAAATGACTGCATCATTATCAAAAACATAAAAAGTTGCTGTATTCTGGGACATACGTTTGCTTTAGAGTTTTTCTTTTTAGATGCGGGACTATTGGCTCCAGTGCTTTTCTTAAAACCAGTCTTCGCCTCACCCAAGACCCGCTGCTGCTCCTCCTCTGATATACTCTACAGATGCACAGCAAATAAACCACACATAAGAAACACTTCCAGTAAAAACAAAACATGTAAACAATGTTTGAGACTTACACTGAGAAATCTGTTCATCTCAATTTCATACTCTTTTTTCCTCTGAAAGAAAAAAAAGACAAAAAAAAAGTGACAATTTAGATAAACTTGCTTTACTTATTGACTTTTTCCTCTCAGTTATTCATGATTCTCAAGTCACCTGTTCGCAGCGTTTTTGGTAGGCGTCCTTTTCACCCTGCTTTAGCAGCTTCCACCGCTGACTACACATCACCATACGCTCTGTGCTGGGAACGTCCTTCATGCTCGACATTAGCTCCGCACAGAACATCGAGTAACCGTTTCTGAAAGCATTCAAACACCACATGTCAAAACCAAATATCTCGCAAGGGCAGTGACCTACAAAAATCCCCTCCCTCAGATGTGTCAGGAGAGTATTTGTAGCCGTGACTCACGGAGGTGGTTTGTCAGGACGTCCGTCAGATTTGTCCTTCAGGTGCCTCTCTGCCTTGGTCAGGGTGGACTTTACGATGTCTTCCTGAGTCATATTTAACTCCGGATGCTGTTGGATGTATTCACGCATCGTCTCCTGGAAGATCGCAAAAAAATCCTCAGTTAAAAATTATTTTCTTTTGTCATCTTTTGTCATCTAAGGCAACCACACACTGATTCTTGTCTCACCTCATACTGCTTCTGCTGTTCCAGCGACTTGGTGATCCATTTGAGCCTCTTTTTGTCAGAAAGCTGCGTCCACTGTTTGCCAAGACTATCTTTAATGTCTTTGGTGGTCGCCTGGGTGAGACACAGAAAAAGTTAAAATCTCTGAAAGCGGCTAAAAGTTGCATTCTGTTTGTTGCGCAGCTAAACTCACATCAGGGTGCAGCTTGAGGAAGGCCTTCTTTTCGTGGTTGTACCACAACTGTTGGGGCGTCTTGGGCTTTTCTGGTACATTTGAGCCTTTTTTGGCCATGCTCTCCACCAGGTCTGGATGCTCTTCCCTGTTTAGGCATCATAAAAAACGTATTAAACAGGTATTATGCATTTTAGGCTTATGTGTTATGACTAGTTTAAAAAAATCAAGTAGTAAATCATCTCACCTGAACTTCATCATACTTTGAACAAATGTTTCCTTATCTCGTAAGAAGTCGTCAACATATTTTTTCTGTAGTTATGAAAAGAAACATTATTTTTCCAAGGATATTTTTTAGGAAAAAAACAAAAAAACATGATGGTCAAAACAGTGTTTGTCTTTGACTGACCTTCTTTTTATCAGGCAGCTCCCGATACTTCTTAGATAGGATTTTAGTGAGGTCCAGGTTGCTCATCTCAGGGTGCAGCTTTGCATACTTGGCCCTCTTCTCCATAAAGAAACGGAAGTATGGAGTCAAAGGCTTCTTGGGGAAATCTGGGTGTTTCTGCATTTGTGGGAGGGAAAGGGGACGGAATTACTTAAGCCTTGAACTCCACTAACACAACTGGTAGGCCATAAAATCATGTGAATGTTGACTTGAATTCACCTTTATTTTCTTGCCCTTGTATGGGTTCTTTATGTAGTCTTGAGCATCAAATATCAATTCTGTCAGGGTCCTGAATTTACGAATCTGTGTTTGGCAGAAAAACAAAACGGAGAAACTCAGAAGACTTGACTTAACAGAACAATCTGACTTGGAGAAAAATCGATACAAATCAACTCACCTCTTTCGACACCACCTGCCATTTCTGCTTGCACATCTCAGCTGTGTAGGAATTGAAAGCAACTTTCTGCCAGTCCAGGTGGGACTCTGATGTTTTGTATTTAGTCAGGTCTTTCTGTGGAAGAGCCACTTTCATGGCCTCCAGCAGTCTTAAAAGGTCATCCTGCGCCCATACTGTGAAAATGTTAAAAGAGAGAGAGAAGAAAGACATAAAAATCACAAAGGAAAAAAACAGATCTGCCCAAAATGTCTTTCAAATTATACATCCTTTAGTGTATTCTGACAAGAAAAAAAAATAAAATTACTATTCTATTCTTACTATTGGCTTTAAGTTGGTAAACCATATATTCTAATCTAATCTAATCGGAATCAAACATTCAGTTTTAATTGCTGTAATTCTTAGAAGAACTAGTACATTAATCAAGTTTAATACTAAGGTCTTAATATACAAGGTTATGTAAAGTGCTGCCTTGCCATGATTAATCTACATATCAACTCTGTTCAGAAAAACTTGATTTAGCAAAAAACCCACCTTGGTCTTGTGTCGTTGCCTCCATTTCTCCATTCATTTGCGGATATTCTGTCTTGGATCTGCGAAAAAAAAAATCCCATAAGATTATTTAAAAGCATATCTTTTATATATCGACTTCAATCAAGAACCAATCAGCAGTTTATAATATACATATTCGTGTATATTACCTTTAACCAGTTCGTGATCTTTAAAAATAGTAATTAATGCTATTTTGTCTTATTTGTATAAACGGGCTTAATTACCAATTAATGTGGCTAATTCTTCATATAAAAGTAATAATGACGAGTCAAAGTCGTTAAATTTAAATTTGGCTCGACATAATGGTTTATGTTCATTACACCGCCCCTTAAACGTTTACGCTACATGGTGAGACATAGGCTATTGCTTGTGACGGCTTCAAATCTCAAATAACACTGCGGAGGGCTTCAACTAGCACATCTAGCTACGACAACAGGAGTCTCCGTCGAGCAAATTTTGCCAACCGGAATTTGGCGTATTAGTACTGTCCTTATTCCACAACAAAAGTATCGTGGACACACAGGAGCGACCATTTTCTCGCCTGGTCCGCTCAGTAATGGAGGATTTTCTGTCGGAGCTGAGGTTGGGGAGGATCCACGGAAGGAGGAAGCGAATGGACGTGGACGGACGGGCAGCTGTAGGCGACCAGCTGACCACGGACGAGGGATCTGCTTTCGGTCTCCGAGAAAGGGGAATGGTAGCTTGGAAGCACTGCAGCCAAATGCGCCACTCGACAGAGGCGCCTCATCACCGTTGGGCGCTGATCTAGCTCCGCCACGCAAAACCTATAATATTCTCCTCGTAGTGTTAACTGAGACCGGAGCGATGAAATCGAAAATAACATTCGTTTACAGTAAAGAAATGTGTTTTAAGGCTATCTGCAGGCCGTTTTTATTCAAGTTATAGGCGTTTCAGAGTGGGATTTGCTAGCAAAATCCAGAGCATTCTTCAGCGAGGCGTAACCGAGCTGTGTTCCAATGATGGCGGCTGCTCGTTGTTCATCTTGTCCTTGATGGCCCCAGCTCAATGTGGTGTCAACCGTGTGACCTAGCTACATTTAAACGATCGATTTCACCATTTATGTAACTAAATAACCTCCACGTTGTATATAAGAAACCCTTGAAACATAAAATCTACCTTAAATTTAATTATTATGACAATATGCGTGATATAAATTTGAGTGTTGAGGCATTACACGAGCAAGGACGATTTGACACACCGAATGCGGCTAAAATTGGGACATTTTCTTTTAAATATTATTAGCTATGCCTTTTTAAAGGTTATTTAATACAAGGCTTTAGGCTTTTTGGCATCTAAGAACAATTTCGTGTCCTGCAGAGTAGACCTGGACCACATTGACATTAGCTGCTGTTTACAACCAATCATCTAAATCACGTAACGGTTTTTATTTAGCTGCCTTTAATAAAAAGCAACTAATTTAAATGGTGGACAGCGTAGATGGATTAGTAACAAATTGTAGAAATGCCCGTAAATATCGTGGTGGCTGGAAAGTCTTGCGGAGGCGCAGGAAGAAAGAAGAAAACGGAAAATGTTTTTTAACGGGCAAATGTTATCGCGTCAAACTGATTTTATTTTATTTTTTAAACCACGATTCAGTTTTAACCGTAGCTGCTTACAGTTCCGGTTGCAGTATTGTAGCATTAAACGGCATCTAAAATGGTTAGCTAAAGCTCCGAGGAAACATGTTAACAAACCGCGGCTGAGTAGCTTCTCTGGCGCGACAAACAGCTCCAGGTCCGCCATGCTTCAGCTCTGCTCTACAAGGAAACCTACCGTGACAAGGTCCAATGGCGCACTGCAAACACAGAGAAACGGAGCTTAAAACTAAAGCCAGGGCGTCGCAGACTCCCTTCCCTCGATCCAAAAGCGTTTAAGCGAGGGCAAGAAGGCGGGTTCTCCGAGCTCGGTCGTCGGAGGTTCTGGGCTAGCCAGTGAGAGAGAGGGGGAGAGAGAGGGCGAGTCTCTGCACGGTGAGATATTAAACTGAGATCCCTGATGGCTAACCGAGAGAGGCGGCTGGCTGTTCCGCCAACAGCCGCATGGAGGTCTCGGCGCGGAAACCACCGTTTATTCTCCTACGCAAATACTCCCTGTATAGCAGGAGCAGGCGAGTTTCGATGAAGGGGTTAGCTCAAAATAGTCCTTTTTCGTGTTATTTTGAAAAGAAATTTATCACGTTTACCCCGGGGTCTTACGTCCAGTTCCTTCCCCGCTGTTTGGGACAAGAAATTCGGGTATGGCCGCCGTCGTCTGTACCCTACAACCGTCGGTTTATTTCGCTACTACAAAGAAGCTGCCGACCGAGGCGCTTTACGAGAAAACAAAAACATGCATTAAATGTATATTTATCGCGTTTTGGTGGCTTTTTCGCGGTTTGTTTATCACATACGCGCATTGTATATTGAAACCGATCGGCTGTTGTGTTGGCTTACCTGTCTCTCAGCGTGAGTCTCGGTGTCGCTGTAGAGGAAGAAGGGGAGGGTTGAACGATAGCCAGCACTGCGCCGTCGGTCCTGGGCTCCAGTCCCCGCAGAGATGGTCCTTCCCCCCCGCCTCCATCTCACTCGCCGTCTCCCTCCACTCAGCGCGCAGCAGCTCTTCTCTCTCCATCCAACCATTTCGCTACGCCGAGACCTCCACATTTTTTCCGATCTCTCAGTTTGAATACAACCGAGGGCGATTATTTTTACTCCCGCAGGCCGACCCCGTCACATCTGCAGCGAAGTTTGAACCCACCGAATACTTTATCGGGTCACCGAGAGTGCAATGAAAGCCAACGTTTTACAGGTGATTGTAAAATTCATGCAACTCAATCAAATCACGTTTTTCCCTCAGATTTTTTTATATCAACTTAAAACCGAAACTTCACAAATTTTACTTAGAAACGCCAGATTTCCACTTAAAATATAAATATTAAAGTGGTCTTAATAAAGCAGAAACCGCGCTGTTTCTCGCTGCTCCTAACCTCTTTTTTGTATATTGTAAGCGGCTGTTTGACAGCTTCATTTTGGTACAGCATGTTTTGCTTTTCAACTCCACCTTGTGTGTTTGTGGGCGGAACCCCCGGCCATCCAATCCAGGCAGTCCGATTCAGGGAAAACAAATGACTTTCAGGCCCTCGGCCTTGTTAAACCGTGTTGCGTTCCCATGGTGTAGGAAAAACGGGTATCTTTGCATGTTCAGACAAATGAAGACATGCTTGAATGAATAAGTCACATAGAGCTGATCTTAACTTTACGAAATGTCACATTTACCTATAGAAAACAAACAAAACTCATTGTAAAGAGGCAGGGGACTTAGCAGTGTGTAATGAATGTTTTTAAAATGTAAGACTCAGAACCAAGGGCGTAGATTTGGTTTTGGCATTGGTGGGGACGGATGATTCAACCACTGAACCCTGCCCTGTTTCTTTTTTTCCTTTTTGTCTTTGCTTCTTGATTTAAAAAAAGGAGAAATATACTTGCCTACATATGCTATTCTGCATGCTTTTAAACCATTTAAAATTACAGTTCATAGTTTTATATGTGAATTATATAATGTTAAATTACTATTAAACAAATGACTAAGTATTTTAGGCTTTAGTTTACTTCAGCCATATTCCATATAAATCAGGTATCATACAAACATAAAAATAGCTTCAAATACAGTCATGACAATAAAAGAATATGACTTTAAGAACTTAACAACATTAGTTCAATTGTAGTACACCAACATCTCTAACACATTAGCACTAAGGGAACACTGAATGACCTGGTGGTTTTTGTCCATAAAACTACTCATCTAAGATTACCACAAAAGATCTCTCAGCAAAATTATGCAACATTTTAGGCACAATATTGCCCCGATCAAATCAGTGAGCTGGGATTTTTTTTATTCAAAACATGAACTACTGTTACAGCAACAGACATGGACTACTGGTGCCCCACACAACAACTCAATGTGGACTACGTGAAGGAGCCAAACACATGCCTTCTCCTCTCATTAACTGAGATAAACTGCTATAGCCATCTTTTTAGTCTTCTGAGAGCACTGAAGCTTCTTTCAGCCTCAGTACATGTGTTTTATCCTCAGATTAAAATTATTATTGTGTGCTTGATGTGCCTCACCTTTGGCCCTGGCTCTTCCCCTCTGACTGCACTAGGACATATTGCTACCTGATAAAATAACATATGGATTCGTGCCATATAAAAACTGAGACATGTCAATTCAGATTCTTTGTCAAATATACACTAATGAATCAATTTACATCAGCAGCCTAACAACTATCATGATAATAAATACTAGTTAATCTATAGCACCAAATCATCAGTCACCTGTGACCTCGCCTCTTCACCTCTGTCCGAGCTACAACATGGCAGAGCTGCCTCTGTCACCTGATGAATAACAGTGAGACATTCCAAATACATGCAGTCACACATGTGCTTCAAATACAGTAATGAACCACCAAGTCATCATCCAATTTCACCTGTGATTCTTGTATCACCATTACTCTATCACCTGACAAACAGGACATACATGACAATAAGAATAAAATGTGAAGCTGCTTCAGTGTTTCTGTCAATTTGTGCAGATCTTGACTCATCAGTAATGTTTGTAGGATGAGTGCATTTAAATTTAAAACACTTTGTGCAAACTGCACTCCAAGGTGGAATATTTGCAAAATCACGACTACCTCATGATATTTTGTCTCAAAAATTAACCCTATGAATATGTCAGTGCCATTAGGAAGAAATTATTGTGTCACCAACATTTTAATGTTACACATAAAATTTTTACAGCCTCTGTAAACTAGTATCCTGGCTTGCTCGAGGCTGCCGTTTTCTCTGACAGTTTCAATCAAAATTAGAAATGCTACTGTGGGAGACTGAGATAACTAATATTGCTGCCTGTTGTGCAGTTAGTTTCCGAAATACTTTTTTTTATATCCAGGTTCTTCCTTTTTGCTGCCATCCTCCTCGCCTCCTTGCAGGTCCTCGCAGCGCAGGCTTGCAGCTGCTAAAACTAAACAGAGCTCCCTGAAAGGCATAGCCAATCACATTGGCCATATTTGTCACATGAGGCAGGACTCCAGTAGAGAACGTAATTTAACTCTTTCTGCACCGCTGGCTGAATGAGACGTTGACGGATCGTTTTTTTCTTTTTATCGGGTTTGTTTTTCTTTACTCGAAGAGATCAAATTATTGGTGGGGACAATTGAATAATCGCTGGATATTGGTGGGGACATGTCCCTTCCGTCCATGCCAAATCTACGCCCTTGCTCAGAACAAGAAATTTACCCCTTTCCTGCCGTGATCATTTTCCCCAAAGGATTTTAACTATTTGTGTCGCAGTTCAGTTTGCCTCAAAGCAGTTGCACTATTTAAGGAATAGGAAAATCCAACTATGTTTGTCTTGACCGAATATTAGAAACATTATTTCTAATAATGTTTTAGAAATAATGATGTCACATCTCAGGGGAAAAGTGACATCATGAAATAAAAAATACATAACAAAGGGCATATTTTACAACTTCACGGTTTTGTATGTTGTGTATCTATATATTATGTGACATGTCATTCAGCTAAACATGTTTTACTAGTCTGAGAAAGAAAACAGTATTCAGTTTAATGATCCCCTCTGTGTTATTATCATAGTTCAGGCTAATAATAAGTAAGAATAGGCCCCTTGTCTTCCAGAGCAGCAGGACTTTGAAGTTTCCTGATATCATTGAAGGCAGCATGAAGCTGAGTGGCAAACATGCTCCTCACGCCCTCTCCTCTTTCTTGCAGGGTAAAAATAATGACAAACTGTTGACATGTGATGTGACATATTGTGTTACTTAATGCGTTAATGAAAACATGCGTTTTAAGGTTGTCTTTATTTTTTAATAAAATTAAATCCAAAGCATGTACAGTGTTTTGCACACAAATGTGATGGGCAACATAAAATGCACGACAAGGAAAATGTATACAGAGTTTTACCTGATTATGTCATCAGTATAACAATCAATACAAACAATAAGCTCTCAGCTTCAACTATCTACCTGCACTGCACATCTCATTTAAAATCACAAAGCATTTAAACACTTACACACAAGCAGTGCATTTATATTCTATATAGGCCAACTGAACAAAAAAAGTCTAAACTGTTGCATAAAGAATACACAAAGTAAATGGGAAAACTTCAGAAACAACTTCACACTTTTCTGAATAATCTGATACACTATGGACAAAAGGCACATTATAGTCTCACAAAATTAATTATTTTGTGCGCATCTGAAGAGCTGACATCAGCTTTCCTTAGCTTAAAGTAAGGTGAAATTACATTATTATAACATAGGCAGAACTACAATTTAACTGCATTGTTGTAATATTAAAGCCATGCTGTAATTGAGCACTAAAAGAAAATAACACTATTATATATAAATGGATCTATCTAACATCTCAGGGGAAAATATCTCTTATTTTCAAAATTCATTCATTCATTTTTCCCTGAGAGAAAATGCCACTCTGTATCTAAGTACATAAACAGCCACTTATACCTTAAAAAACATTTTTGAAATCCTAAAACCTCAAAATATTAATTAGTAATACCTGATAGGTCTCGATGATGAAATTGAATACATTTTGGTTGTCTGTTATGGTTGCAAACACAAATTTAGATGCAGAAGTCATATATTAATAAATGTCAGGTAATGC